GTGAATACAAATATTTTACTATATGATATTAGATTACTGGAATATAAATATTTTACTATATGATATTAGATTATGTGAATACAAATATTTTACTATACGGTATTAGATTATTGGGGGATTTTTGTTTTTCATATTTTGGTCGTCATGCTTCTTTCCTAAGTCAGTGGTTTGTATATTTTACTTAGAATGAAGTTAGAGTGGTTTACTTCAATCCATACACTAATTAATTGTTTTACGTTACTCTCGTGTAGGGAGCATCGCTTTCTGTACCGGGGCAACAGTTGCTATTATAGATATTGTTTTTCCTAATAAATTTTCAACGATTTTGGAAGTGGATTATGACACCCCCTACCGATATTTTGTGGAACAGGGTAATAGTTCTACAACAGTACAAAAACGTAATGACCATCAGACGAATGGTAATGGTCCCGTTCTTCAAGATGACCTTAATGCCCCTGGCAGCAGCAAAGAAGGCATTGACAACGTCGCTTATGAGAATGACGACAGTGACGGCAGTACGATAATCAACGGAAAACGAGCCATAAGTCTTCACCATTTTGGGAAATATGCCGAGCGGGAAGCGACGAAGAGGAAGGCTTTTTCAGCTATCAGCCGGTAGGTTTTGGTAATGATCTGAAGATTACAGTTGGTTTCTCATTTTATGATAACTTTAAGATAAATATATTTTTTACGAAATCCATTGGGAATGATTAAAGGAATTTGGTAAATTATCTTGAAATGGAACAAAATTGAATGTCGTGTCCTTTCTCGTTTTTTCGTTTATATTTTACAGAAACTTGAACAGTGACACAGACAGACCTAGCGGAACTACCGAAGATCGTAATACCGACTTGGAGGCGGCAGCAATGTGGTGACGTCACCTTGTGGCTACATCAGTGCACCTGAAGTGCAAATAATAGTAACTATAGTGACAAGTTTTAGTCACGTTAAGACGGTTCCAAAGGTCATAATTGAATTATGATAACAATTTGTAATGTTGGCGTACCAAAAGCTTTTCCAGCTGTGTAGTCTTTCAAAATGGACTTTTTTTTTATTCAGGACATTAAAAATATAATGTCAAAGACTGCCATAAGATGGCTTTTAACTGATGCCGTCAAGTTGAGAATTAAAAGTATATGTATATTTGTAATATTAATAGCTTAACTTGTACAAGTGTATAGTAACGTTTTACATTGATTTTTTTTAATAATCGAGGTGAAAGGGTTCTTCTTCACAGAGGGCGCTAAAACCAGTAGCAACTGGAGTGAATAAAGAAACGAAAAGTTTGGTTTACCCTTTTAGCCAAATGAAAAAATAAATAAATCAGTTTCTCGTTCTTTCATAAAATACCCTTCTTATGTTTCCTAGCAATAGATACCATTATACAGGATGCCCCAAAATAATATTAACCACTTACCAATATGTGCATGGTCAACAGTTTACAACGGTTCACAGGCTTAATAATTTTATGCCACATTTTGTAGTATTTATAAGTAATTTTATGTAATTTTGAAAAATAAATAAATAATTTTTCTGCTATAACGTCGCTTGTATTCCTTAACACTACTTATGTATAGAAACTAAGCAGTGTCAGTTAAATGTACCTAACATACCAGAAGATTCGATAAATTTCTGTACAATCTAATGTTTCTACAAGTGCGTTTTTTGTTGACTGTTTATTGCCGTAAAATGAAAATTACGAAATGATAAAAAAAGCTATCATCAGCAGTGTCTCGAGTAACCAAGACAACCAGTCACTATAATGAATGTTCCACTATTAAGCTAGTTGTTCAATCACGTTCATCAAAAAACAGTAGCCTAAAACAAACAATGTGAGGATTTCCAGTGCCAAACATAACTTGCATACTCGAGAGTGTATTATTAAAGACGGTTTGTTTTACCTTTAGAAATGGTTCCTAACAATTTGTCTTGGACGGTGAGAATTAATCTCGTAAAGCAGTGGTAATAACACCCAGTGATTAGCGTACTGGGCTGCGACGTCATACCTCACTTTCAGTTGTGAGCGCCTAACACAAGTAACATCAATCCTGTTATTCGCGACGGCGAGTGTTGCTAGCTGTCTTCTCTCTAATCAACAGTTCAAAAATTAAGAACGGCTGTACGTGAAGTTTAGGGGTTTCTGGTCGTTTAGTCAACTCGTACATAAAGTGCTGTTCCGGTTGAAAATTTTAATTCCAATAATAAAGATGCGGCATCACTTCACCTATTGATATAAAAACAGAATACGATGAAGACCATGGTGAAATGAGGCTTCTCGAAAGTTGATAACGTTGTAATAAACAGGATGAATTCCTGATACGATTTGTAATAGTCGCCACTAGAGCACGCTCTGACGGCTTCTTTGTTGTACTTAACACAATTCCAACATAAACTAATAACAAAGTTATCACGATGGCTTCTTTGTTGTACTTAACACAATTCCAACATAAACTAATAACAAAGTTATCACGATAGCTTCTTTGTTGTACTTAACACAA